CTCACCCACGCGCGGCCTCCTGCTAACGTCCCAACCGCCCCTTCTCACCTAGCCACCGTCCTGTCCCCCGGGCTCACACCGTTCGTACTGCTACTGGCTTCTCACTCCGCGCCTGGCAGCCGCTTCTCGCTCTGGTCACTAGATTTCGACCCAAGACGCACTTAGCTCCTAGCCTCTAGCCCCTAGCCCGGCTTCCTCCTCCACTGGCGCTCCTACGACTCCTAGGTTCACCTCCGCCGTTCCTAGCCTAGCGTCCAATATGGACTCCTCCCGCCACCTTCGTTTCGATGCGGAGGGGCGACCGATCGAGTTCAGTACCTGGCAGCGCCAGGCCACGCGCTACCTCACCAGTCAGCGCCAGGACGGCGCCACCCTGTGGGCCCACGCGTCTGGTGCCCTCAAGGCGCCCCTGTCTCCCGACCCCCTCCCGACCGACCCAGAGCCGAATCCTACGGCGCAGGCGGACTACGACGGTCGTGTCTTGGCGAGGGACGTGTGGGACTCTCGCGACGCTGCCGCCGCTCTTGCGCTGACGGAGCTCCTCCCCCCGACTGAGGCCGCCCACTTTGACCAGGTGGAGACAGCTCAGGGGGTTTGGGCTGCTGTTGTTGCACGCTATTCCACCCCTTCCTCTGCCTCCCTCAATCGCCTCCTCATGCCGTTCGTGTTTCCCGACCTCGGCTCGTTTGCGACTGTGTCCGACCTAGTGACTCACCTCCGCTCACTTGACGCCGGTTTTCGAGCGGCCTGTACCGACGCCCAGCTTCTTACTGCTCCCCCCCCCATGTGGCTCACTGTACACTGGTTAGTCACCCGCCTCCCTGACCGCCTTGCCACTGCTCGCGACGCGCTTCTCCAGAAGCACCCCACTGAGCTCACTATCGATCTACTTGAGACCGCTCTCGGGACGATCGAGAGTAGCCTCCTCACCGTTGCCTCCGCCACTGACACGGTGGCCCCCCGTCTCTTTGCGGGGTGTGCCGCCCCTCAGCTTCCCACTTTCACTGCTACCCGCGCTTCTGCTGCTGTGTCGGTATCTGGGGACACTGCTGCCGTTTCTGCCGCAGACTGGCAGAAACGGGGCAAGAGTGGCAAGAAGGGCAGGAAGGGGGGAGGTGGATGCGGTGGAGGCGGCGGTGGAGGTGGCGGTGGAGGTGGGAGCGGCGGTGGTGGAGGCGGCGGTGGAGGTGGGAGCGACTTTGTTGGCCTCTGAGGCCACAAAGTCCAGGCGTGCCTGGCCGCGTCGATGCAGCTCTCGCAAGAGGAAGTACCTCATGTCAATATGCTTCACTCTGCTCTCCAGTCGAGGCTCTCGACAGAGGAGGATCATGGCCTTGTTGTCAGCGTACAAGGTCGGTGCAGAGCGAGGCCACTCACCAAGGTCGGCGAGCAAGAAGGTGAACCAGCGAAGCTCCTGTGCCGCCATGGCACCAGCGTAGATCTCTGCCTCTGCACTAGAAGTAGCCACAGACGACGACCGTGTAGACCTCCACGACACAGCACCAGCTCCCAGACTGAAGCAGTAACCCTGAGTCGAGCGCTGAGTCTCCACGTCGTCAGCGTAGGAAGAGTCGCAGTGACCAGTCAACGCCACTGGCTGAGTCCCTCCAAGCACAAGCCCCATGCCTGATGTAGTCGCCAGGTACTTCGCCACCCTCACAACAGCTGTCCAGTGGACAGGACGGTGTCTCCCAGTCGCAACAAAGCGAGAAAGTATGCTGAGGGGAAAGGCGAGGTCCGGGCGAGTACAAGTCATCAGGTATATGAGGCAGCCCACCAGCTCTGCGTAGGGACCACTGGACTCAAATGGCTCGTCGGGAAAGGGGCCAGTGAGTCTGTGGTCAACAGCAAGAGGTGTGGGCTGTGTGGTGGAGAATTGGAAGTCGAACCGCCGAAGGACCTGCTGCACCATGTGTGACTGAGTCAGTGTGATGGTGCGAGCGGCTCTGTCCCTGGTGATCTGCAGGCCAAGGTAGCGCTGCAGTTCACCTAGGTCAGTGCACTTGTGTCTCTTCTGCAGTTCGGACTTCACCTGAGCCAGAGCTGCCCTGTCTGCTGTGGCAAAGACCAAGTCGTCGACGTACACTAGTATAAAGAAAGGAGTGGAACCAGTGCGAACAAACAGCGATGGGTCGGCAGAGGAAGGACAAAACCCAAGGTCACGAAGCGTGGAGCGAAGAGTGTCGTGCCACTCACGGGGCGACTGGCGGAGACCGTAGACTGGTCGTCTCAGGCTCCACTGGGTCCCAGGTGGGAAGGTGTCAGTGAAGCCAGGAGGGCGGCGCAGCCAGATCTCCTCGTGTAGCCGGCCCTGGAGAAACGCAGTAGAGAAGTCAAGGGAGTGCAGCTCGTAGTCTCGCTGTGCTGCTACGTGCAGTAACACCTGAAGAGTAGTCGTCTTCGGGGTCGGGGCGAAGGTCTGGAAGAAGTCAACTCCCTCACGCTGACTGAAACCCCTAGCCACGTAGCGCGCCTTAAACACAGGCGGTGAACCAGGCGGCCGCTTCACCTTGAAGAGCCACATGCCATCGACTACGTTCGCCCTGGGAGGGGGAACTGCGTCGACGTAGGTGCCTGTGGATCTCCAAGACGCTAACTCCGAGGCCATAGCCGCTTTCCACTGTGAGGCCCACGCCCCTGACATTGCCTCGCGGTAAGTACGAGGAGTCGGTATGTCAAGGGCGTCGGGGTCTCCCTCAGGGGATAGCAGCATGGCACAGACAGAGGGAGAAGCAGCTGCCCAGTACTCCAGCTCAGACTCTCTGTCCTCTAGGACGTCACAGCCAAGGGCAAACTCACCCCCGACGGACAGAGGACGGGAGGGAGGAGCTGGCACCACACGGGTGGTGTAGTCAAGGCGACTGGCGGCAGCAAACTCAGCGACAGCGGCAGTGAGAGCCGAGACAGACGACGGAGGGAAACGAGAGTCGGTGACAAGAGTGGCGAGGACACGAGAGACAACAGGACGAAAAGCGCGGTAGTAGTCAGTGACAGGAGTAGGGGGGAAAGGGAGAGAGGACGGAGGAGGAGACGGGAGAACGGACTCAGGAGGAGGACGGCGAAGAGACGAACAAAGGAGGGCAGTGCGGAGGTCGGTAACGGGAGACGAGGGACGAGCACGCGGAGGACAGGGACGGACACGAGAGTGTGGGACATCAGGTGGAGGAGACTGCGGTGGAGGAGAAGACCAGACCGCTGGACTGTCGTCAGGAGGAGGAAACGTGGGACCAAACGCTGAAGGGGGCGGAGTGTGAACAGGAGGAGTGGAGGGAAGACCAAGGGCCCGAAGGCCACTCACGCGTGGGAACAACTGCCGCTCCAGAGGGAGCTGCGGTGGGCGCGACCAGGCACGCCTGGACTTTGTGGCCTCAGAGGCCAACACTGCAGACGTCTTCACCAAGGCCCTGGCGCTTGGTGACCACCACAGGTTCTGTGTGCAGTTGGGGCTTGTTGAGGTAGGCCCTCGGTTGCTGTAGACTTGTTACTTGCTCTGCTTGTTGTGTTTTCCTATATATATCATACTGAACTCTTGAACTGGCCTTGTGGCCGTTTGCTTGTGCTCGGAATTTGTGTGGTGTCCTTGAGATCCACCCTGAGCTTGCCTTGCTTCTTGTCTTGACTGGTCTTGTGACCGTTTGTCTGCCTTGCTTGTTTTGATGCCCCTCACTTAGCCTATGGGGGTGTGTCAAATATAATAGTTATAGGCTGTAGTGAGTTGCATTATATAGGGTACAGATGCTAGGGTTTCCTATTTGTATCCAACACTTTGCTAGTTCATGCATTCCGTTGTTCGGGTTTAGAAGGTCGGTGCATTCCGTTGAGAAGGTCGGTGCTGCGTCCACTCCTAGCGGGAGGCGCAACGGCAGGGGTGGGCGTAGGAGGGGTGGGGGCGGTGGGGGTGGCGGAGGTGGCAGTAGCGGTGGGGGTGGCGGAGGTGGCAGTAGCGGTGGGGGTGGCGGGGGTGGTGGAGGTGGCGGTGGCGGTGGGGATGGCGGGGGTGGTGAAGGTAGTGGGGGTGGCGGGGGTGGCGGAGGGGGTTGGGGTGGCAGTCGAGGTGGAGCTGGCGGGGGTGGTGGCCTAGGTACGGCGACCCAGGGAGCCGCGTACGGTGGTGCAGCCGTTGGAGGTGGCAGTTCTAGGGGTGGACAGCAGCAGCAGCAGCCACGTCGGCAGGAGACTCCCTCGCCGCAGCAGCTTAGTGAGTGGGTTGCCCAGCGAGGCTCCCCTGGAGGTGGTGGTCCCACTACTGGTCCTTTCCCGTACGTGCGTCGCACTGGCCCGAGGGCCGGCAACGTCTGCGGCAAGGTGGGGCACGGTGAGGCTCGCTGTTTCTGCTGCCTTGAGGACGCTTTTCGTGCAGAGTTCGGTGAGCAGGCCAAGGCCTCTGAGTGATTAGAATTACTCAAGGGGGGCGTAGATATATTATATGTAGGCATGTATGCCATGTATGCTGCTGGTGCTAGTGCTGAGGGTGACTATTGTTGTTGTGTGCCTAGGTCAGTTTGTGTAGAGGATGCTAGGTGCTTGTGAGACAGCTTGCACAGGTTCGGATCCTGAGGAGGCGTGTCTCTCGCTCACGCTGGACTCCGGCGCGACTCGGTCACACCACTCCCGGCACCTGAACAAATATCGTGCCCGTTGTTTAGGACTCGGACCCCGTCTCCCACCTCTGGACCGGCCGACAGGCACAACGGGCACCCCTTTGTTGCAAATATCAACCCTAAACCCGTCTTTTGCAGAGTGAAGACAAGACAACTGTTGAAAAGTGAAAACTTGTAGAACAGCAGAGTTAACATCTGCTTTTTTTTCAGGGTTCCTAAGCAGTGTACACTTCGATAAAATACTGAAAAATCAGTGTTAGCTATGAAATAAAGGCTGAAAAATCAGTGTCACAAAAATCTCAACACTGAAAAATCAGTGTAGGTACACAAAACTAGGCTGAAAATCAGGAATTTCAGGGAAAAATTCCTGATATCGTAGGGCCTGGATAGATAGAGCTATCAGAGAGGGACAGGTGTCACGATCATCCCAGGAAAGATGTCCCTGATCAACTCTGCAACGTCTTCAGCGTCTGTTGCAATTGTTTGAAGCCACTTATGCCCGTTGAGCCATTTCACACCAGCAGCAGTGATTTTAGCATCCCACAGCCCGAGCTTCTCCAGGCGTTTCATATTCCTCAAATGCTTCATGCCGGAATCGGTCACCCCTGGAGGCAAGATGAGGATCTTGAGTGCAGCGAGAGAACTCAAGCGCCGCAGCCCATCCTCTGTCACTCCAGTGTCACTCAGAGTGAGCGATTCCAGTGCTGTCAGTTTCGCCACATGCACCATGCTGGCATCAGTGACCGCTGCACAGGCCCCTAAGATCAGGTCCACGAGTGACGTCATCCCCTGCAGCTTCGCTACTCCCGCGTCCGTTACCTTGGTGTTGAACAGATCAAGTGCGCGGAGATTCTTCAGGCTGCCAATGCCTTCCAGAGCCGCGTCTGTTGAGTCCTCTCACACCCGCTTCAGTGAAGCCCGAGGAGTCGGTGAGGCTGAGAGAGGTTAGCGAGGAGAGGGTGGCGACTTTGGCGAGAGCAGCGTCGGTGAGGCAGGAGATGCCGCTGAGGTCCACCCGGGTCGTGCTTGGGACTGCTGCGCTCCAAAGAGTCATCAGTGCCTGCAGCCAAGAGCAGCAGCAAAACTCAACACGGAAAGAGATTTGCGTGAGCAGCTGATATAACGAGCTATGATACGCAAGGTTCCTGCGATGAGAAGGCGGCTACACATGCAACCATGCGTACCACACTGGCTGCATGTGCTACTGGCACAAACTGCTCTATCATGCAAGAAAGTGGGAACTGGTAAAATGACAAAAAGGAGCCGACCATCCGCATTATCAAGTCCATCCGCGCACTCACCTCCCACATCTTGCTTCCACTAGCGCTCGTATTCTCCACCGCTTCTACTAGCGCCATCAGCCTTTGCAGATCAGACTTTGTGTCGCGCGCTCCATGATTCTTCCGCCCCTTCGCTTCGCCATCCTTTTCCGCCTCATCCCGCTTCTCAACAACGGCACCACCATCGGTAAACAGCGGAGGCCCAACTCCCACAGCGGCATCTGCCATCTCCTCCTCCTTGCACGCCTCGTCCCTCTTCCGCCTCTTCCCCTCGTGCCTCTCCGCCTCCGCATGTTCCCCCGCGCTGCCCTCGCTGCGGTCGGCGCTGTTCTTCTCCGCACGGCCGTCCTTGAGTGCGGCGAGCGCCAGCTCAAGGTCGTTGATGCGCGCCGCCGTCGCCTTCACGTCCGCCACCTCCGCCGCATGTTGTTCCGCCGCTTCCTTCAATTGCGCAAGCTCCGCCTTCAGTGCGCCCATCTCCCCGCGCATCTTACTCGCCGCGTCCCGCGCCTCCCCCCTCGCCGCTTCCACCCGCACCTTCACCTCCTCCACTTCAAGTGCAGCAACAATGCTTTCCCGCGCGCCTTTTGGCAGCTGCGCGCCAATGCCCTCCGCTGACTCTCCCGACGCACTCCCTTGTCCCGCTCCCCCACCCTCACTCTTCTCCGCCGAAGCGCCCGCCGCCGCGATCCCCTTGAGGAGGGCCATGGCGCGGCGCATTTCCGCCATGTCGCGCTGCATGGCAGCCATGGCGTCGCCCTGCTCCCTCAGCTTCGCCTCCAACGCCGCCACGCGCACCTCCACGCCGCCCGCCATCTCCCCCACCTGCACCTTCAGCACCATGCTGTTCAGCATCTCCTTCAGCCTCACCTCCATGTCTTGCGCTGATGTTGCCGTCGCCATTTCGTTGTTGCCACCGTCAGGCTCTTCGCGGTAGAGTGCTGTCTGGCTCTATGCTACACAAAGAATGCACGTATAAGTACAGAAATCACTAGCTTAGATCAAGGTTTCACGTAATGGAGAGGGTAGAACTTCGACAAGGAAGCAGGTGCTGCATCACGCTGGCAAGGGAAATGTGAAACAACTTCGATTGACTGGAGATTTTGTGCGTCAAAATGTTGCTGGGCCTTGGACGTGTGCACGTCCAACCGAAGCAGCGAATTTGCATATTCAAAATGAACGGTCAAATTCACGGCTCAGGCCGAAGGCAGCTGACGTGGGAAACTCGATGCGCCAAGTCCCAGCGCAATTGTGCTGGCTTCGCTTGAAGGAACATTGAACGCTTATAATATTAAACTTATCACCAGAATATTCTGCTACAACAATGTTTGACACCCTTCTAGATCTTTTGAGGTTGCATACTTCATCAACATGGAATAAATATTGTTCCCCTAGAGTTTAATTTGGAGAGGCCAGCACCGATTGGTACATATTGTACCGGCAGGAAAACATGTAGGAAATTTCATTTCATGCTTCTTACGTTACAAGTCTCCAATTATTCATCCCACCCGCTATCTTACAACATCTCTTTCTCCAAAACTTTCTGCTATCCCTCTCAGCACCTCCACAATCCTGCTCATATTCCCCAGCCCCATTCTCCAGGGCACCTCCCCCTGACACAGCAGCAGATGGTAATCCAACCCACACGCATCCGCCAGCCGATGGAACACCGCATACTCGCTCCCCTGCGCCCCCTGCGGCCGCAACTCCAGCACCACGGCACGGGGCGGCATGAAGACCATGTGGTTGAGCAGGGGGGCGTGCGGGGCCACAAGCACGCGCGCGCGGTTGAACGTGCGCTTCACTGTCAGCAGGTCTAAAGCGGCTGAGCCCCCCACTGTGCGCAGGCGGCGGGCTCCGAATGCTTCCACGAGGGCGAGATGCAGCTCTGCTAGCTCCTCCGCTGTGCCCGCTCCTGGCCGCTTGCCCCACACCACCACCCAGTCATCTGTTGCCTCCACTGCCGCTGCTGCTGCTGCGTCTGCTTCTGAAGGTGCTTGGAGAGTGAAGTCTGGATTAAAAATGGGGAAGCCATTGCTGCAAACGAAGGCGGGATGGGAGGGATGCAGAGCTAGGTCAGGATTGAGGGGCCAAACCCAAAGGGAAAGGAGTGGTAGGAAAACAGAGCTCCCCGAAGTATCAAAACATGGACAAACCAGCAAAATTGAGGGGGAGTGAGAGGGAAAGGGAGAAGGAATGATTTATAGAATGTGCCCGAGGGATGAGAGACCGTGTGTGTTTGAGAAGGGAAGGCTGGAAATAGAGTGGCGCAGGTGCAGGGGATGCATGTGAGTACTGGAAAGAACGAGTGTGGCAATGAGAGGGAGGAAAGAAAATGGAGGAGAGAGGAGGGAGGAGAGAGGAGGGAGGAGGGAGGAGGGAGGAGGGAGGAGAGAGGAGGGACGAGGGAGGAGGGAGGAGGGAGGAGGGAGGAGGGAGGAGGGAGGAGGGAGGAGGGAGGAGGGGAGGAGGGAGGAGGGAGGAGGGAGGAGGGAGGAGGGGAGAGAGGGGTGGGTGGTGGAAGGAGAGGGGAGGGGAGAGAGAGGGGAAAGAAGGCGGGGGAGCCTACGGGGGCAGCAGGTAGTGGTGGCGGAGTGTCTGCCAGAGAGCTCGGCTGGGCTTGTGGCAGCGCTGGTGCACCGGCTGTAGCAGAATGTCTGGGGGGACGGGGATGGGGAGGATGGAGCGGGGAGACGGGGGGAGGAAGGGCTGCTGAAGAAGAGGCGGATGATACGCTATTTACCCCCTTGCACACCTATACCACATGCGAGACAGCAAGCGAGAGAAGATCACAAGTACAAGCACGAACAGCTAAGTATGTGACATGCCATGGAGGTGAAGAGAGGCACAGGGCACAAGCACGCACCAACGAGCACCACGTCTTGGCCTCTCAGCTCCCTCACGTCCATCCGCCCAAAGTCCACGCCAGTCACCTCCGCCCCCAGCAGCAGCAGCGCCCCCTCCTGCGACGAATGCACCCCCTCCCCCTCCCCCTCCCCCTCCCGCCCGCCCTTCCCCCCAAAAAACCCCGACAGCCCCTTCCCCTTCCGCCTGCCCCTCCCCCTCTCCCCCCATCCACCGCCACCCCCCGCTTCCCCCTCCCCAGCAGTGCCGACGAGGAAGGACATGAGGGGCATGGCGGCGAGGGAGGAGTGCAGGGCGAGCAGCAGCGGCAGGTAGTGCACCAGGGCGTCGCTGGCGTGCAGCGGGTGGGGGAGCGCCAGGTTCACCGCCAGGGGTAGGTGCAGGCTGGGGCGGGGGACCGACGCCCGCGTGTACGGCTGCTGTTGTTGCAGCTGCTGCTGCTGCTGCTGCTGGTGCTGCACTTGGCTGTCACTGATGACATGGTGGTTGGTGCTTGGGTTGGTATGGCTGGGGCGGTCGGTGGGAGCAGGGCAGGCGTTGGAGTGGAAGAGAGTGGTGCCGTTGAACACTCGCCCCCACGCATCCACTCGCACACTCTCCAGCCGAAACACCTGCACACCGGGTTGGGGGTAGGGCGGGAGAGGGAGAGGGAGAGGGAGGCATGAGATGCAGGAAAGCGGGATAGAACGGGAAATGAGCTGCAAGGCGGGGAGAGGCAAGACCCAACTGCCTGCCTTTCTGCTCACTGCTACTGCCAGCCAACCACTCCCGCCCATGCCTCACACCCTTTCTCCTTTTATGAAAATTCCTTTTCTTATCCTGTTCCATGTTCTTTTCTCCTGGCAATCCAATCAGTTTGCCATAAACCCTCCGCCCTCCCAGAGTCCTCTCCCTACAACCTGTTATTGCCTCAACTACCTCTGTCCCTCCCACTCCCTCACCTCCACGTCCCTCCCCTCCCCTCCGCCTACCTCCTCCCACTCTTTCCCTTGCCCTTCCCTCATCTCATTCTCCCACAACGCCATTCTCCCTGTGCTGTGCCCTTCCTCCCTGTTCCAAAATCCGCCACTTCTCCTCAAAATCCTCGCATCATCCCCCCCATTGCCCCCCCTCTCTGACAACCCTCAACAACACCCCCCCCCCCCCCTCTCCCACACCTTTTCCCTGTCCCCCCTCCCGAACCCCCACCTGGCTCATCCACTGCGGCAGCAGTTCAAAGTCCGCCTCATGCCCGCACAACGCACTGCGCGCCGCTGCTGCTGCTGCCCTCCCCACCGCCCTACTGCCACTGCCAGCATTGCCAGCAGCAGCAGCACCAGCAGCAGCGCCAGTCGCGCCAGCCCCAGCAGAGGAGTTAGTGGCAGCGGCAGGTCCCAAGCGAGGGCAGGTGGAGGGCGAGCGGGGGCGGGCGAGCAAGGGGTCGTGCAGGCCTTTGTTCCAACACGCCGCCACGCCAATCAACTCGCCCTCACAGTTGCCAAACACCGGACACTCCTCCCCCACGCACACCCCCTCGCCCTCCGCACCTCCCATCACCCCCTCCCTGCTGCTGCTGCCATTGCGTGCGCTGCTTGCTTGCAGCGTGCGAGCGGCCTTTACAGCGCTGGCAGCCCGGGCGGCCTTGCGGCGTTTGTACAAGTCCAGATGAATTGGGGTCAACTCTCCCCGCCGAGCCCTGCGCCGCCTGCGCCACCACCCTCCCCTGCCTGACCCCTCCTCACCAGACGCCTCACCACCGCCACCCCCACCCGTCCTCTCGCCCCCAGCACTCCTCTCCGTTGCACCAGCCCTCCCACTCGCGTCTCCGCTATTACTACCACTGCTCACACTGCTGCTGCTGCTGCTGCTGTTGCTCGTCATGCCACTGCCACCACCACCACCCGCCACCGCCTTCGCCTTTCCCGCATCTCCCCCAACTCCTGAACCTGCTTTCCCCAACTGTGCCCCTTCCAATTGAAATTCTCCATTCTTAGCCCCACTGCCGCTCCCCCCTTTCCCCGCGTCCGCGCTTGCTGTTCCCCCGGACCCCTTGTCCTTCCCCGCGCCACTTGCGCCACTCTTCCCAGCTCCCGCATCTCCTCCGCCCGCCGCTGGCAGTTTCTTGCTCCCCCCCGCCCCCGCCTTCTTCTCCGCGCCCCCGCCCGCGCCGATCTGCGCCGTTTTGTTTCCCCCCTTGACGCCCCCCGGCTTCGGCTGCGCCCGCGCCTGCGCCTTTAACTTGGCGGCGCGTTTCCGCGCGCGCCGCTTGCGCCCCCAGCGCTTTCCCAGGCGGTCGCGCGGAACGACGTGCGGGTGCGCGGTGAGTCCGATCTTCCACGGAAACACGTGCCTGTGCCGCTCCCACTTCACGAACCCCCGGTGTCGCGTCTCCGATATAAGCTCTTTTTGCTCAGCGAAACCCACTAAGAGCTGCAGCACGAGCACCCAGTAGACGAATCCGACGACGAGGCACAGCAGCAGCAGCCACGACCCGATCCGCCGACTGCTGCCGCCGCCGCCGCCGCCGCCGCTGCTGCTGCTGGGGCCAGGAAAGAAGAAGCGGAGCCACGAGTTGCGGGAGGAGCGGTGCGCGCCGGCGCCGTTGCGCGAGGAGGAGGGGTGCGCGGGCCCTTTGCGCTCCCTCATGGGGTGCTGCGCGCGACCGGAGGGCTGTTCCCCCCCTCTACTGAATGCCTGACCTAGCGATGATCGAACGTAATTTCTGATGTGTATCGCCTTGGACTCATATCGAGGAGAATCCTCGCCCGTTAATACTTCGGGCGTTTATAGATTGCGAATGTCGGTTCAGCAGGCTGGGTCAGGACTGAGCGACTGAGCGACTGAGCAACTGAGTCGTCACTTCAGTTCTTTAGGCGTTGATAGGTCATCTGGCTTTTCTGGTGATTGGCCGGCATAACTCTAGGAGGAACCGACAGTGCACAGTCACGTGGACAGCCAGGGTTGCATATATTGAGGGTTGTTTTGTGTTCGACCTTATTTGAAAAGTTGGAATGACAGTTCGACAAACTGTTTTTGTCGGATTTTCGAATAACGAATACGAATTTCAGCACCAGCTGGCAAAACGAACACCCCGCTCTCGCCTTCGAGCATGTGCACATGCGAACTTCCTGGACCCGAAACTGCTCTGCACTTGCTAGCTTCTAGTATTCGTCCCTACCAACCCGTCACATCAGGAGCGAAATGGCAGAGCATCCAGGCGATAGCGACAGCGACAGCGACACGGGTACTAGTCTCGTGGTGAGTCGCTCTCCAGCCTCGCCACCACTTCAATCTCTGCTGCCCTCTCTGTCCATCCCAGTACGGCGCCACCACGGGTGGCCGTTTCACCCCACTGTCTGGTTCTCCGTCCTACGGATTGATTATAGCAATACGTACAAGTCCGTGAGTGTTAGTTAAGCCAGACATTTCAGCGTGAGCGGCATGGTGCTGAAGGTTAAGATGGAGGAGGTGACAGGGATGGGCGAGTGCGTGGCGGCGTTGGAGGCGAAGCTGAGCGAGCAGGGCGACGCCATGGCTGCTTTGAAGCGAGAGATGGCGGACATGCGCCGCGACATGGCCCTCCTCAAGGGCTTGGCGGAGGGGGCAGGAAAAGGGAGCGCGTCAGGAAAGGCAGCGGAGGGCAGTGGCGCGCAGCCGCTGAAAGGCGCGCAGGTGGAAGCTGCGAGAAGGGAGGCGAGTGAGATGCGCGGGGAGATGGGCGCGCTGAAGGCGGAGCTTGCGCGGATGAGGGGAGCGGCGGAGCGGCAGGCGGCGGAGGTGGCGTACGTGAAGGCGACGGCGGCACACTCGGAGGCGCGCATCAACGACGTCGAGCTGGCGCTCGCCGCCATCAAGGACGGCCGCGCGGAGAAACGCAAGGAGGGCAGCGGGGAAGGGCAGGCGGCGGCGGAGAGGCGCGAGGGGAAGAGGCGGAAGAGGGAGGAGAGGGGTGAGGAGGAAGATATGGCAGATGTTCCTGGGGTTGATGGGCTGGCGCTTGTCGTTGCTGGTCGTGCGCCTGAAGGAAAGCGAGACGAGGCGGAAAGGGACGGCGACGCGAAGGAGAAGGAGGAGGAGGAGGATGGCGCGGAGTATGTTGACCCGGAGGACGATGTGCAGAATCTGAGGGCGCGAGTGGAAGTGCTAGAGAAATTGAGCGACAGGGAAGGCCATGCGTGGGAGGTGGGTGCACACGTGCATGTGTTGCGCCGATAGCATGTGGATTCTGCATGGATCGCATGTGTGCCTGACTCTCATGTTGGTCCTCTTATGCTACAGCCTTACTCTTTGGCCTTGTCTTGCATTACAGATTGTGCTCTCTCTCTCCAAAACAGTTGAAACAGGTTCACTTTTCCTGGGCCGCGTGAAGTCACATGCAGCCAGCTTGTTTTTCAAGCTGGTGCATGACACTTGACACTCATCATAGCATGCGGGATTCCACTCCCTGGTGCTGCAGGGCGTGCTTATCTGTCTTCGTGGTTGCCCTTGCTTCCCTGTGCGTCTGTGCGTCTCTACAGGAACTCATCGCACTCTGGGTTGAGGTGCGTCCAGGCAAGGCTCGCCTGGACCTCAGCGGCGTATGCCTCATTGACGGTGCTCTCACTCGAGCCACCGCCCTGCGCTCTCTCACGTGGCTCAGCCTTCGGGGATCCTGGGGCTTTTCTGCAGACGGGGTGACAAAGCTCTACTCGCTCACGGCTCTCGCATTTCTAGACTTGTCAATTATAAACATCACAGATGCTTTCCTCGAAGGCATTGGCAGCCTGAAGAATCTGAGGACACTTTCTCTTGGCAAAACCATGATTACCAACGAAGGAGTGAAGAAGCTCCAAGGGTTGCCGCAGCTTGCAAATCTGGATCTTGATTGCCCGAATGCCACCTCTGCCAGCATGGTGCATGTGGGTAAACTGACGGCACTGGTATCCCTCAGACTGTATGAAAGTGGGGTGAGGGAGGATGGACTGCAGCACTTGACTGCGCTCACCTCACTCAAGCTCTTCACTCTCCCTCCAGGAGTGACCGATTCCGGCATGAAGTACCTCAGGAATTTGAAACACCTGGAGAAGCTGGGGCTGTGGGGTGCAAATGTCACTGCTGCCGGTGTTAGATGGCTCAACGGGCTTAAAAGCCTCCAGGTGATTAGAACAAAGGCCGAAGAAGTGGCTGGCTTAATTAGGGACAATTTTCCTGGAATGGTGGTTACAAAAGATCCCCTTTGATACGGTAGATAGCATACGGTATGCCTTATGCCCGATGTCTGGTGGTACCTATCTCAACTATATGTATCAAACGTATGGCATGCTAGTAAAGCCTTCTGCAGTTACTAACAGTAATCCTCGGAATAGGGAGACCAAGGCCCAACCTTGACTTTTAGAGGTCCCCCTGTGTAGTTAGAGTCCCTCATTACATTTGCCCTAACAAAACTCATAACAACTACAGCAAGTTCGTTTTGCCTGAACGCAGCAGTGCTAAATCGGAGCACACCAAGCGCGGTGCGATTTGTGAAAACAAATTTGCAGCCTCCAGTTGAGACGCTCACGTGGCTAGCTCGGAGTGGCTGTGGAGTTGGAGAGCCCACTAGCTGCAAATCGGTTTCCCAGTACACGGACTTGCTGGCGATTTTGCTGGCGAGAAATCGGAAGGCAAATTATACATGTGATGCGATTCATGTGAAGCAGTTTAGTTATCTGGTGGGTTGGGCCCGTCATGTGAACTGTATCCATTCATCCCACCCATGTTGTCTCCAGCTTCGATGGTCAGAAATGTTTCTGCGGGCATCACCCTGACCGTCACACCTTTTACTCGTCATCTGCCCGCATCTGCGGGTGTGGTGGGCGCTTCCCCAACAGCCACGACAGGCGGTGTGGCGACATTTCAGCCACCAATACGACAGAAATCAAGCCAGCAAGCGAAGCGACTGATCAAGCAAGCGAGCAAGCGAAGGGAGCAGCAAGCAAGTGTCCCAGCGGCACATCGATGCGAGCAGTGGTTTGTGTACTTCGTGAGTGAGACACAGCAGGTCCGATAGATAACTAAATTAATCGTGTGCTTGTATCGCTAACGCCGCATCTGGCGGCGATCATCAGCCGCCCGTTCGACATTCCCTTCCTACGCATCCGCATTGCGCCGCCGCGCAATGGCGTCTATAATCAAGTCCTATCTCGCAGCGTACAACCTCGCGCAAGCCCTTGGATGGTACGTACAGGGGATAGAAGAAGCTCTGGCGCACACACGACCCAAACGCTCTGCCTGTCGACACGTAAAATACAACCTTCTCGCGGAAGCACTCTCTCACAATATCACACTGTCACAGTAGCCCCTTCGCTGCTCGTCATTCCCCTCCCTTTCGCCTGTTTCCTCTAACATTTCCTTTCGCCACTTCCGGATTTCCTAATATCATTTGTCTTTTTCCCGTCGCTCGTCTGTCCCACTAATTGCTTCCGCGGTTTCTCCTTCCCACGATCCGCTGCCCCCGCGTCCGCGCTTTCCGCGTGCGTGCAGGACCGCGGCTCTCGTGCTGCTGCTGCACGATGCCATCGTATCGGGGTCCGTTACTAACGCGTACGCTGTCGCGGGCCCAATCGTCGGTAAGCCGCCAAATTCACCATATGCCTCTCCGCGTCTCATGCGCTACACACCACACCCTACGCGCCACGCACCTCACCCGCCACGCATCCTACGCACCACGCGCCACACTCCGTTGTATGCACACAATCCTCGCAGCATGAGATTGCCTCGTAGTACTGCGCGTTGCGACATGCCTCAGACTCGCCCGTGCGTTGCTCCCGCGTGTGCGTGTCGTGTCGCGTTCGTGTCTGGATCGGGTCGCAATCCACAGTGTCGCCGCGTTCGGCGGGCAGGTACCGTGGCGTGGAGGCAGCGCTCAGCGCTCTTGTGAGCATAAGCCACAATCGCTTTTGACCACGTCTCAATCTGCAACGCCTCATCGTTTTCCTTTTCTCCCTCCTCCTCCTCCTCCTCCTCCTCCTCCTCCTCCTCCTCCTCCTCCTCCTCCTCCTCCTCCTCCTCTCCTCCTCCTCCTCCTCCTCCTCCTCCTCCTCCTCCTCCTCCTCCTCCTCCTCCTCCTCCTCTTCCTCTCCTCCTCCTCCTCCTCCCCCCCTCCCCCCCCCCCCCCCTCACTCCTGTTCTTATCTACTTTCCTATCCTCTCCTCCTCACCGGTTTTCTCCTCTCCCCTCCTATTTTCTTCCTCCCGTCCTCTCCTCGCTTCTCCACCCCTCCCCCCGCCGCCCGTCCATCAGGCTATTGTCAAATGGCGTCAGTACTGGAGGTGGTGCACGCCGCCACAGGTGCGTGCGATGGGGGCATGCCGGGTGTGTGCCACGGATTGTTCTAACTAGCACGGATACGCTAGACGGGGCAGGGGTGCAAGGCTGGATGTGGTGCTGAGTTTTTCAAATAGCAGGGTCGGATGCACGCCTGAGTGTACATGCCGTTCACACGGCACGGGTACAGCTAGGAGCAAGGTTTCCCCTGAGTGTGCATGCCGTTCACCGCCATGCCACACACTCCCGCCTCTCCCATCCTTCCTTCCCCCTGGCGTCAGCCCCCCCTGCCTCCCCCCTCTCCTTCCCCCCCTTCTTCCCTTCCCCTCCCGTGCTCCTCCCGCCCCGCACCCGCCAGGGCTGGTGCACAGCGGTGTGCTGACAGCCGCCATGCAGTGGAGCGGCCGCTCGCACGTGCTCTTCACCGTGCTGGGCCGCCTGCCCCAGGTGAGTCACCGTGGGGCGTGGTTATACTCGTCATAGAGATTATAAGTTAGAAGCCAGGGCAGGCAGGCAGGCAAGGCCATCCATTCATCTCCTGCAGGAATGAAGCAGTGTGGAGCGGCCGCTCCCACGTGCTCCCTTCACCGTCTTCGCAGTGCTGGGAAACCTGCCGCAGGTGCGAGTCACGACATGGCGCAGGTGTCGTGAGAGAGGGCATGGCTGAAACCGGGGATGGGTTGGGAGAGCGAGTGAGGGACCGTTGCAGCCCGGTCGAGCTCTTGTACTTGGCCGTGTATGTCAAGGGAAGGGAGGGACGCTTGCATGGCCTTGGCGAACAGACGAACTGGGATAGGATGCCCGTTGCATTGATTACTGGAGGGGAGAGGCATTTTGGCTGACGACATGGCCACTGCACCTACCGTGCGTTCGTCGTACCATGATGACCGGCTATGATGATCTCTCACCCAGGACAAGTCACAGGACCATTCTACCAGCAAGGTACACGGCAGGCTGGTGGTGTCTTGTCAGGTCAGGCACATTCGTGACCCACCATACTTACCCTGCATCGTAACCTAGTATCCGTCCGAAGGGGGGTGGGGGGTGGGGGGAGTGGGAGGAAAGCTGGTTGGCCTAAGTAAGAGCAGCGTGCTCGGCCTACTGGTGCAGGCGAGAAACGGTGCTGCTCTTTGAAATGGTCCCAGGGCCGATTCCATGCACGAGTGAGTGCAAGCATGTGGGGGAAGTGAGGTGGTATGGGGCCAACTGCGGAGCCCACTGCCGCAGTCCGCTGCCCTGACTAGAGTTCCCGGGCTGACTGTAACTGGGCTGCCTGCGTTGGCTTGGCTGGGTTGGCCGCGTTGACTGGGTTGACTACGTTGACTGTGCTGCGGCTAAGCTGCCTTCGCACAGAGCTTTTGGCACAAAGAAGGGAGCATTGTCTACTACATTCTCGCCATCGGAAGATAGTCCTCCCATGCTGCATTCCTCCCCCATTTTCCTTCCTCACCCTGACTCCCTCCTTACTTTCACCTGCTATCTCTTTCCATCTCCTTCCATCTCCCTATCTTTCCCTCCCTCTCCCTCTCCCTCTCCCTCTCTCCTCCTCTCCTTCCCTCCTCCCCCCCCGTCCTCTTCCCTCCCTCCCCACGTTCTGCACGCATCAGATTCAGCAGCAAGCGTCGGTCTTCATTCTCCTGCTCACCTGGTCGCTCTCCGAGGTATGCCCCTCCTCGCCCGCCAGCTCTCGCCATTCCTGTGAAGCGTGGGGATGGTATGGTATGTAGGGCAGCGAGGTGCATGGGGCAGGCAAGCCGCAAGGGCACATGGAGTACTTTTAGGAGGCCGTCCGGTTACTAATCTCTGGTCTGAGGTTCTTCCCCACAGGGCGGGCGTGGCCGTCCGTTTATCACCCTCCCACCCATCCACCTCCGCTCCTACACCCCTCCCCTTTAACCCACCTCATCTCCTACACCACTCCCTCCCTACCCATCTCCCTTCCTACCCGCCCCCCCCTCCTTCACCTCCTCCCCCCCGTGCAGGTGATCCGCTACCCCCAGTACGCCTTCTCGCTTCTCGGCTGCTGCCCCGAGTGGCTCACGTGGCTCAGGTGAGCTGCACTCTCTCCCCTTTGCTCCCCTTGTGAGGGGAATCACCTCACAAGTTTGCTTGGCTGCTGCTACGCTGAGTTGCTCACGTGGCTCAGGTGAGGCGCGCCCTGCTCTGCCCTCTCCTCGCCGCCACCGCGCATCGCATCCCCCTGCTTCCGTTGCTTGTGTGTGGGTGTGGGTGTGTGTGGGGGTGTGTGAGTGTGTGAATGTGCTTGTGCTCGTGCACATGTGTGTGGGTGTGTGTGTGGGTGTGTGTGTGCGTGTGTGTGTGGGTGTGTGTGTGCGTGTGTGTGTGGGTGTGTGTGCATGTGTGTGTTGCTGTGTGTGTGAGTGTGTGTGTGTGTGTGTGTGATTTCGTGTGAGTGTGAGTGTGTGTGGGTGTGTGTGTGTGAGTGTGAGTGTGCGTGCGTGTTTGTATGAGTGTGAGTGTGTGCGAATGTGTGTGTGAGTGTGTGCGTTAGGGGGGGTTGGTCCCCCCTTTGCTGTGAAGTGGGCGTGCAGTGCTGTTGCATAGGCGAGGTGCAGGCTGGCTCTTGCAGGTAAATTGGAATAAGAAACGCATGCAAAAACAGAGAGGCATGACCGGGAGGGAAGGAACCACAGGGATCGAACAGTAGGGGCTGAAGAGGCATGGTGGAGAGGCATGGTGGAGAGGCATGGTGGAGAGGCATGGTGGAGAGGCATGGTGGGTGGAGAGGCATGGTGGAGAGGCATGGTGGAGAGGCATGGTGGAGAGGCATGGTGGAGAGGCATGGTGGAGAGTACAGCATGCCATGGCAGCATGTTTGGTGCCCTCACCACACCCGGTCACCTCCCAACACAACACACACACTTCGCACACCCGCTTCCCCCTCGACATTGCACCCTCTGCCCTCTAGCTTCTCTAGCGATTCTCACTCTACTCCCCCACTCCAGCACTCCCTTGTCCCCCCTCCACACGCACACAAACTTCATCCATTTCTCTTTTAACCAATCCCCCCCTCCCCTCACATCACCCTCGCCTTTCCTTGGCGCCACCTGCACATGCCTCACCTGCACATGCCTCACCTGCACATGCATGCAGGTACACGGCGTTCATCCCGCTCTATCCCATTGGCATCTTCGCAGGGGAGAGTGAGTAGAGCAACGCTGCGCGCCTCCCCTCCCCTCCATCCATACATCCACCCGTCTGCTCTACTTCTACACGGCGTCGTGCTTTTGAGGCTCCTCAAACGCCATCCATCCATCCATCCATCCATCCATCCATCCATCCATCCATCCATCCATCCATCCATCCATCCATCCATCCATCCATCCATCCATCCATCCATCCATCCATCCATCCATCCATCCATCCATCCATCCATCCATCCATCCATCCATCCTGCTGCCTTACTTCCACAGCATCGTGCCGGTTTCCCTCTCGCCCTCCTTGTTTCCCTTGCCACTCTCTTCCCCCTCCTTTTTCTCGTTTCTCTTCTCGCTTCCCTTCTGCCTGTTCCTCCCTTCCACTCTGCAAGTCTGCTAAGTCCTTCTCTCTCCCTCGTGCCATCAGCACAGGAGCCCTACTCTCTATCCCTCACACTTCTTCCTCTTCTCCAACATCATACTCTCAACACACTTGTTTTTCCCTTCCGTGCTCACATTACTTGTCCCCTTTCTCGGCCAAACACTCCCAAACATTTCCATTACACCATTCCAAATCGCCTGTCCTGAACCAACCCACCCTCTCACCATCATCCCCATTGCTCCCTTGCAACTGCCCGGCCCCTTCTTCCTCCCAGTCGCACTCATGTACAGCTCGCTGCCATTCATTCGCCCTGAGAATCCCTTCCAGCACATCTCCGGCTACCTTCATGCCATCAGCACAGGAACCTCACTCTGTATCCCTCACACGCGTTCCAACTGCCCCTCTTCCACCCCCCCCACCTCCCAGTCGCACTCATGTACAGCTCGCTGCCGTTCATTCGCCCTGAGAATCCCTTCCAGCACATCTTCGGCTACCTGCCCTTTGAGTACTACCACTTTGTCGTTGTGAGTTGCCTTGCCCCCACCACTCCCCTGCTCACCGCCTGCTTACCTCTGCTCACCGCGCTCATCTCTGCTAAATCGCCGTGCTAATTCACTGCGCCAAGGACTGCTGCTGTGCCTCCCATTCCTGTGTATCCCATTCTATTCCCATCCCCCACCTTCCATTCCCCACCTTCCATTCCCCACCTTCCATTCCCACCCTCCTTGCCCACCCACCTTCCAACCCCCACCCTCTTTACCGCACACGCCAGGGCCTGCTGCTGTGCTACCCGTTCCTGTGGATGCACCTCTACCGCCACATGTAACCCACTTCGTTGCTCCATCCCCCACCCTTGTACCCTCCCATCCCGCACCCTTTTACCCCCCGACCTCTTTTCCCCCCTCGGCAGGGCCTGCTGCTGTGCTACCCGTTCCTGTGGATGCACCTGTACCGCCACATGTTCAGGCAGCGACGCAAGAAGCTCAGTGGGGGCAAGCGCACGGGCAGAAGCAAGGAGGAGAAGGGCAAGGGGAAGGTGGAGTGAGGAGCGGGCGAGTCCTGTGGGAGTGATTTGAGCTGGCACGGATGCGGCACACTGCTGTGATCTTCTATGCATGTGCGTGCAGTTATTTGCAGCATGCATTACACTCCGTGTCCCACGGTTCGCCATGTCGAGAACCAAGCGCTCTGAACAGTGACAAAGGAGAGGAAGCAGTGGAGAAGGTATTACGCGGAGTTGGGGGGGAAGAGGCTGCGGGTAATGCAAGGCCGAGTCACGTGTCTAGGGGGGGAAGGGTGCTTCTCCCACGACTCTTAGCGCTCTGCATGGGTGGTTGAGCTGTTGTGTAGTGAAGGAGGAGCAGTGGCAGAGAAAGGGGCACTGCCCAGAGAATGTATTTTAATTATGGATGCAGCAGGTGCATGGTATTGGAAAGAATGATGGCATGGTGAGTCACAGCATCAGGTGCACTGTATTAGCATGCTCTATTAATGCTCGTAGATTTACTGTACTGCTTGCTATTTTAGGAAAGATGATTGTTTAGCTTTAGCTGTAAACAACCGCAGGGCCTTGAGTAGGTACCATTGTATTTCGCGTAGAGTAGAACAGCCATTCAATAAATGGGTTTATCACATTGCACTCATGTAATGTACAGGCTGGTACACCTATCTACAAAAATGATGGGTCAGAATTACTACCCTCTGGCAGTGTTGCGTGATGTACAGGGAAAGGGAGATAGCACTGTCTGGAGGTGTCCTGTCTGTGCCCTCTGCGCCATGCTTCACCATGTCCTCTGTACAGACTAACACAATGCCCAGCCCACAACCATTCACCATTCACCATTCACCATCCACCATCACCACTGGTTCACCCGTGCCTCTCTGGTCCTCTGCTGCTCCTCCCTCTCCATCTGCTCCACCACTGCTGCCCTGCCCCTGCCCCGCAACAACCTCCTGCCCAACCTCTCCCTCACGCCCTCCTTCCTCTTCAGCATACCTGCTAACGTCTCTCCCCCCGGCCCCCCCACTCCTCCCACTCCCTCTTCCCTTCCCCAATCACCCACCCCAGCTCCTTCACTGTAACCATCACTCTCACCAACAGTGAAACCACCACCACCACCGCCACCACCATTAAGACCCATGACGATCCCAATACCTCCCCCACTCAACACTCCCCTCTGCTCGCCCCCAACCCCACCATCACATGCACCTTCCTCACCTCCTCCCCTCTTCCCACCCACCACCCCTCCCTTACCGCGCACCTCTGCGGCCATCAGCACCGCGTCGTTGTGAGCGCGGATACGCGCACCCACCCCACCTCTTTCCACCCCCCCACCTCTCTCCCCCCCCTTGCCTCCCCCCGCCTGCTCCCCTCGCCCCACCCGCACGCCCCTCCGCTGCCCCTCACCCCCACCACCACCACCACCACCACCACCACCACCGCGTGCCATCCCGACCGCACCACCTTGCTCGTCTTCTGCTGCACCGCACACCCCAGCCTGCCCATGCTGCAGAGCAGAACCACCCGAGCATGTCAAGGTCAGTGCATCCTCCTTCCCCAGCAGAGCAGCTCGCTGCTTGAGGCTAGCTGCCACTCGCAGCACCAACCCACGCCTCTCCATCTCCAACCTCCTGGAACCATCTAAGCCACCCCCACTGGCCGCACTAGCTCTCACACTCATGATGCTGCTCCCGTGCCCCGCCTGCGCTCCTCTCTCGCCTCCTCTCTCCCCCCCGTACCAATCCAAAGAGTCGAGTGCTCTGCTGATCCTTGTTTTCTCCTGCACGCCCCCATTGCTCCCTTCCGCCCCTGTGCTAGGCTTTTCTCTGTCCCCACTACCAGCAACAGCAACAGATACAGCAGCAACAGGACCAGCAGCAGCAGCAGCAGTAGCAGCACCAGTCCCACCCAGCCCCACCCCAGCATCCTCATCCCAATTCCCACCTCCCCCGTGCCTCCTCCCCCCCCTCTCCCTGCACCTCACATTGCGCACTGCCTGCCTTCCCACCTGCCTCTGCCATGCCTCCCACTCCACCCCATCTGCCCCCCCTACCACGCCTGCACTCAACTCTCTGTGTGAAATCCCTCCCACTTTCTCACTCGGTCCCCCATTCGCTCCCGCACTCTCTCCTCCAGCCCTGCGTGCAAGTCCACCGTCGCCACCCCCCCCACTGACTGCCCCAGCCTGTACCCCACCCAACGGCCCACTCGCCACCTCCCTCACTTCCAACTCCTCTCCCTCAACGTCCAAAACACCATCCCCACCATCCGCACCATCCGCATCATCCCCACCATCCGCACCATCCCCACCATCCGCACCATCCCCACCATCCCCACCATACCCACCATCGGACCCTTCCCCGTCATCTCCCTCCCTCTGCCGTTTCACTCCCCTGCACAACATCCTCTCCTCGCCTCGACAACCCCCCTCCCTCTCCTCCTTCCCTTCCCTCTCCTCCTTCCCCTCCTCCCCCCCCTTCCCCTCCCTCTCCTCCTTCCCCTCCCTCTCCTCCCTCCCCTCCCTCTCCCCATCCCCCTTCTCCCTTCCTCGCCTATCCCCCTCCTCCATCCCATTCCCCACCCTCATCCCCCCACTCCCCCGCACCCCCTTAGGAGGCTCATAGTAGCTAACCTGCAGGCCCATGAGCTCCCTCACGCGCTGGGGGGGCAGGCACGCACTCTCGTCCACAGGGCCCCAGTGGTTGCTCACGCACAGCCCTCTCTGGTTCGCCAGCATGCCTGCGGCCTCCTCCTTGCCCCACACCAGCAGGTGCGACCCCCACGGCAGCACCGGTGCTTGCTGCAGTAGCTGCTGCCGCACACTCTGCGGCCCTTGCTGCCCCTGCTGCTGCTCTGACGGCTCGGTTTTCTGGTCAGGTTCGGAGGACGCACCTGCTGTTGCTGCTGCTGCTGCTGCTGCTGCTGCTGGTGCTGCTGCTGCTGCTGCTGCTCTTGGCGGTGCAAGTGGTGGTGCTGGTGCTGCTGACGCTACCTCATGAGCGAGGTTCTGTCCTTCACCACTCTTCCCTTCACCATCCACCTGCTGCTGTTCTCCGTTTCGATCGCCCATATCTTCACCACCACTCCTCCCTTCCATGGCACCTGCAAGTTTATCCTCACCAGCGGCACCACCGCCACCATCACCCTCACCAACATCACCACCGCCGCCACCATCCTCCCACTCCACCTCCTCTTCCCCGCTCCCAGCACCCGCTCCCTTCCCCTCCTCCCCTCCTTCCCTCCTTCCTCCCCTCCCTCCCCTCCTCCCTCCCCATTCACCTCCCACGTCAACCCCACCGCTCTGCACCGTTCCAGAACGCTTTTCATCTGCGCCCTCAGCCCAATGACCTCCCTCAGCATCTCGTCCCTGCAGGCGGGGTCAAGCGGGTCAACCCTGGTCAACGCATGCACCCACTCGCCGCTCACACTCAGATACCGCCCCTGCACCACTGCTGCCAGGGCGCACAGCGACCGTATAAGACCACCGCCCACGCCTCCTGCCCGCCCTGTTTCTTCCGCCTGCCCCGCACACCCCGCCTCCCCTGCCTCTTCCGCCTGCCCTGCCCGCTCTGCCTGCCGTGACTGGGCTGACAGGGCGTGTGCTGTGGAAAGGTGGTGGCGATGGGAGACGCGTAGCTCTGCGCGTCCGAATGGTTCGCAATAGGTGTCAGATAATGGGTCCTCATCCACCCACTCCTCTCCTTCTCCCCCTTCTCCTCCTTCTCCTGCTAATCCTGCTGCTTCCCCATTACCTCCTCTAGCCTTCCCTTCCCTGTCTTCTCCTCCCGATTCCCCTCCGCCTTCCCATCGCTCTCCCCCTTCTCCTTCCGCCTCTTCCCCTTCCAGCGCCCTGACCCCCGCCTCCAACTCCCGCACAGCTCCCCTCATCTCCTCCCCCAACTCCCCCCACTCCGCCTGCGCGCGTTCGTATCGCGCCAGCTGTCCCGCGTGCACCCGCGCGGCCCTCTCCCGCCGCTGCCTCTCCCGCGCGCTCTCCACCCCCGCGCGCCCCCTCCCCGCACGCTCCCCCGCGGTTCTCCCCTGCGGCAGGGGGAGCTTGAGCGTCCCCACCAGGTAGCGCAAAGCCATGCCCAGGGACGGGTAGGAAGCGCCAAAAGCTGCCGCCCAGGCTTGTAGGCACTCAAGTGTGCGCGTGCGGAGGATGGAGGCGCGGGCGGCAGGCGGGGGAAGGGGGGACGCGGGGTGGATGCCTAGTGTGAGGCGGAGGAAGGGGAGGAGATGCGCGGGGAGGAGCAGGCGGCGGAAGAGGCGCGAGCGCATAAAGTGGTAGTCTATAACGAGGAGTAGCAAAAGACGGATCTGCGCGTGCTTATTCTCGAGGCGCGTCATGATAGCGTCGAATGCGGCGCGCATGCATTCGTCGTCGTATCGCACGAGTCGCTTCAGCTGCGACAGGCTTGCGACGTCGAGCGACAGGCCCGTCGTTGACGACAGCGCTTCGACGAGCTCTCGTGCACGGCCCGCGGGGGTTACGGCCTCTGAAGACGAAACGGCCTTTGACGCGCGCCGTGATGGGCGGTTGGCAGAAAGGCCGTGAGGGGTGGCGCGGCGTGGCGCCATGAACGGATACTGCAGTCGGCTTTACGACAGGGTATTGTAGACAAATGGAGTTACGTGCAGGACTTTCGAAAGGTTTGGAGGCAAGAAGTATTTGTAAGGAATTATTTTCGTTACTGTAGCGCACTACAAGGAGTACATTGGTCAGCTGGTTCGACCTCCAAACCACCCTCGAGTCGCCCCCGCACCTTTCGCCAACCTTCCGAGCCTCTACATCTGCCAAGAGCCAGGTGCTGCTACGTTTTCACAAAATACCCTACCCAACCACTGTAAATGTTAAAAAGACCTCCCTAGAACGTATCAAGCCTCATTCAAACGTTCAGGGGTGGTTGGGCTGCTGTTGCTTCACTGTCAAAGGGCAGCGCAGATTGGATCAGCAGATGTTGCTTCATGCAGACCTTTTGAATCAAATTCAAATCTGCTTTGTATTACAACTGGAGACAAATCAGAAGTCGTATAACTAACTACTGGTCCGAACCCCTTATTTGCCTCGAAAGGCTGCAATCAGCTGGACACACGGACTAACGCAGGGCCCAATTACGCCCTCCCTCCAACCCCCTCCTCCCAACCCCCACACCCCTCCACAAACTACCATAAAATTATTCCAAGCAGCCACAAGCACCCATCCTCGTAATTAATTCCTTGTCATTCCGTCACTCGCCAGCACCGTAGTCGTCGGCGCGGGGCCGTCGCGTCTAAACAGAGCCATAGGCGGAGTATTTGCAGTCGGGCGCGACGACGGACGAGGAGATGTAGTCCTCCACTTGCCCGTCCAGGAAGCCCCGCCCCTCCGCCTTATCCACGTCCACCGGGTGGTGCAGCAGCGCTGCTAAGTGCGAGTACTTAACCGCGCGCTGCAGCTGCTCCGGCGTGTTCCTAAAAGTCTGCCCCAGCACGCCGTGCACGGCTGACGACATCTTCACGTCGGAGAGCTCCACGTTGAAGTGCGTCTCCGCCTCCGTCGGCGTCTGCAGCAGCGGATGCGCCACGCGCACGCGCACGTCGAGCTCCCCCAGCCCCACCACGCGCACCTGAAACTGATCCACGTCGAACGGCCCCTCCTTGTCCTCTGCGACTTTGGTAACCACCAGCCCGCTGTTCGTCGCGATCGATTCGCCGACGCTGGGACATCGCACCTTTACTGGTGTGCGCTGGGACATTGCTGGCAATCAGCAGTTCGATATCGGAGTCCTGGAGGTTGTGGGAACATGTTATTTCTAATTGCCCAGAAACAGTTGGGTGATTGCAACTCCCCGCAGTATGCCAGGTTTTTGGCGTGGATATCATCCGAACGTTTCCGGGCAGATGGCTTCGGTTTCATCCTTCCGAGATGTGTGGTTTCCTCGGTTTAAAGTGGTGCATCGGAGTACATTGACTACGCGACATAAATTTCACATTATAGACGGCGCCTGCACCTACGATTTGCACACAGAAGTGTATTTCTATATTTTTTATTTAGAATGTTTAACATTGTACATATAGTATGCATAGTCCAAGCCTAATTACAACACTACTCTGTTCGACTGTTTTATCATGTATTTAATGTTTTATTATGGTCGTCTCATTTTTTGTCGAATAATGTTATGCTGATTTACCTTCTATTCAATCCATTCCTTTTGTTGCATAGGTATACCAAAATCTTGTACGAATTCCAGATACATTGAAATCTGCTCTTGTTGCTCGCCTGTTAAGTCACGCGGGAGCAGCCTTTAGTGGAATATAGAGTTACCCTGTGAATCGAATCTTTTGACGGCTGTGATTCGAGCTCACAAATCGAGCCTCTCGCAATGACCCGCATCTCTGTCTCGCATCCGACTCCAGGTTGCGGTGTTCGTTATACAATTTTCGCGCTACTGGTTTTTTTTCGTGAATTGCCAAGTAGCTCGAAAGTCCAAATTTCGCAACGGTGCAACAATATTTTAGAGCGGTGATGAGGTAAGTTCGCGCCATTTGCTACTGTTTGTTTGGAACCGTTCTACACTGCTTCAGAGCACCCAACACGTAGCCGCCTTCTCCAACGCTGTGTGCCCAAAGCTGCAAAACACAAGTGCTCCAAGCATTGTGACTGTTAGATCCAAGTCGCCATGGCTTATCTTCCCGCCATGCCTACGCGCGTTTATGCCGTTTTATTTAGAGATAGTGCCAGGGCGCCACGCCACCAACGTGTTTGCGACCTTCCGCCAGTACTGATCTGAGCATCGTTCGTCGCGGCTTGTTAATTCCCGCGAGAAGTTGACAAATGCCACGTGTTTTGTCTTCTTCCCTCCGTTTTTCTAGCTTAGGACTGCCACGACTTTCCCTTCGTCCCAATATTTTACGACGCGACATGTCGCAGCAGGGCATCGCATACGCGGCGCCGTCAATGACCAGAAACGATTTTGGGCCACTGTTTTCAATTTAGCCCGCTTTTCATCTTTTAGCCCGCCCAACCTTTTATGCTAGCACACCTCTTGAACGACCCGACGTGTCGCGTTTTTTTTTCGTATGTCAACGGAATGCCCAACTAGTGTACTGTTTGTGGGGTCTCTGTGCAGGGGCTGCTGAAGAACTCACATGATTGATTATTTATTTATATATTTGTGTGTTCTGGATCTTGGCATACAATCAGAAGACCTAGGTCTACCCAGCTGTGCACTGCAAGGCGTTTCCTGATATACCAATTCTCTCTGTACAACTTTCATAGTGAACTTCCAGAACTGTCCTATCATAATGTTTTCATGCAACTGTGGCTTAGGTTTTGGCGCTGGCCAGAGTTTAGTCAATCACAGGCGCGCTTGCCCACAGCACGGCTCGAATCAAGTCACTGTTAACTCGCGAATTTTGAACGCAGTGAAACGGAAACGTGCAGAGCAGCTCAGTAGGTTCATCCCAAGAAATCGAACCTATCCGTTGGGGAACAATGGAGCTCCTTCTCAGGACCGAGAAGCACCCGCAAGTGGACCAGCAGTCGCCCCTGATGATGTTGTTTTCCCTGATGAAGAGGAGGACGTCATCGGTACCGAAATTCAGGACGAGCTTCCCGATCTTCAAATCCCCAAGCCGCCATTCAATACCGACCTCGCACTCGCCAAAGTCATACGCGGATTCAACTGCGGAATGGGGCTGTCATCAGCTGACATTGATACGCTTCTTGGTGTTTTGCACGAAACTGGATACATGAAGCCGACCTACACCAACAGCGCGGGCCTGGCGCGATACGAGAAGTCATTGTTGGAGGACTCATCAAGCGTCGTTGAATGGAAACCAGTGGAGATTGTTCTTAGCAACGGCTTGAAGGTTAAAGCTCACGTGACCTCCATAGCGGATGCAATAAAGGAGATGTACTCGGACAAGGCGAACGCGGAGGGATTCGTGGTGAATGCGAAGCCCGTCTACACAAAGGACACCAAAGAACGCATATACGCTGGGCCAGAGACGGGTGATGGGTGGATTCAGTTGCAGCAGAATTGTCCAAGGGGAGGAGTGATAGCGGCAGTTATTCTCTTCAGTGATGCGACGAATCTCAGCAACGACGGCCGTGTTTCTGGTCACCCAGTGTACTGTGCACTCGGAAACGTCACGCTGAAAAATCGGTGGCAGCCGCATGGGCATCGGATGGTGGCGATGTTGCCGCCGCTTGCGAATGTGGACTCAAGGACGGAGGAAGGCAAAGCACTACGACGGGAGGCGTTTCAAAAGGCGATGGAGATTGTACTCGAGGATCTTAAAAAGGCGTCACATGAGTGTGTGTGTGTGTGTGTGTGTGTGTGTGTGTGAGTGAGTGTGTGTGTATGTGTGTGTGTGTGTGTGTGTG